CTCTGAAGCACTATTGGGAGGTCTCAGGCCAGACGGGAATTCTTGCAGGGGAGATTCCTATTCACTGCGCACCATCCTTCAAACTTTTTAACACCTCCTTTACTCCTAAGAAAACTGGACCATCAGCCAGTGCCCCAATCTTTCTAGTAGAAGTCACTGTCCCTGAACACTCGGTCATGTACAAACATCTGTAGACTCGGACGAGAAGTGCTAGGCAGGCTACACAGTGCTGGAGGGAACAGAAACTACACTTGCTAAAAGAGACACCAAGACGCCCCACAGATACAACTTCCAGAGAGTCACACTGAGCGTGCACACGCTTCACAATTCCTTCTCTGGGAACTTGAGGCAATTTCACTACTACTGTGAATGCGCTCATCTTACACATCAGTAAACCGAATGTCACTAGGTTAGTACCAGGTGCCCTCATGGCAGGGCCGCAATGGGAACTCACCGCACACCTCCCAGGCTCACGCTGTCTTCAGGCGCCCCCATTCCAGACCCGCCGCCATCTTGGTCTTGACCCCCAATGGCGGAGCTTCTGCAACCGGCTTTTGTTCTCCAGGAAGGACAAGCTCAGCCTTCTGGAAGCCCACATTCCTCTGACGAAGCAGTCGATAGAACAGGGGGAAGCCCCCCTTCCCCAGCCCAGGTCCATGATTCAGACCAGCCTGTCAGGCTCCGCCCGCGTCAGACCGACCAGCGGGCCTGTTCCACCAAACGCTGAGACACCCGTCTGCTCCACAGGGTCCCCTCCTTCACCCTCGCACCCACCTTCAAGGACACAGAATCCAACCACAGAATATCGTCAGCACCGTGGAGGTGGCAGCAGCCTCTGGAAGATGACGACAACGGGCAAGGCCGCACATGCGCACCAGAAACCCAGAGCAGCCCTGCCCGGATCCCGTGCGGATGACGTCATTTCAAAGCCAAACTACCTTTCCCAGGTTGCAGAGCGAACTGAGCGGCACATGCGCAGAAGCAACACAAGGCGGGTCCCATAGTTCTCTGCAGGTGATGTCAACGGAGGATGAGGCTTTAATTCCCACAAGCCTCTGTGGTCCCCTTGGGAACAATGGAGGAAATTTTTATTTCTCCAGCAGGAAATCTGCTGCTGGGACACCAGGCCGTGATGGAACAGCCGTGGTCTCTATCCAGATGTTGGTGGTGAGGAATTCTGATTCTTGATTCAATCCTTATTTGATGAGAGACATTGTGGTGATAAAGGGAAAATTAAATGTGAGCAAATTTGTAGATAATATTAATAAGTTCCTTTTTAAAATTTTTATTTCTGATATTAGTATATCTGTTATATAGATATATATATCGCTGTTATAGAACCCAAGTCTATTTTCTACAGATGCATTTTAAAGTATGAAAAAAACTGTTTCCCTAATTGACTTTTTTATTTTTATTTTATTTTTTAATGTTTTTAATTTTTTTGAAGTAACTTGTTATACATATTTGTGTGGTAGTTGTGTACTACGTGAGATGGTAGAATCAGGATAGTTAGCTTATTCATCATTACAATATGTAATCATTCTTTGAAAAGGTTTAACAAGCCAGAAATTATTATGGTAACTTTCTTCCAGTTCATCAAAAGATGTTTGTGTTCATCCAATAAGCTAATTTGTGAGTCTCCAATGGATTTTATTGTACAATTGGGAAAATGCTATTGTGTATATAGTGAAATAAAATAGCAGGTCATAGCGTAGGTGCACTCCATAATCCTGTGTCCATTTACACTTGCAGTGTCTGATAATTATTTGCCCCCAAACCCCCAGGTCCTATTCATTCATCCATATATGCATCAGTCAAATATTTCGTTATTTGGTTTTGTGTGTTTGTGAGTGTATGTGATGGGCCTGAACTTTCCCTTTTCTTCCCTGGTTTCTGCCACAGACATGGCAAGGAGTTCTGTGCATGGGTTTCTCAAGCCCCTGCTACCACGGCCATCTTTTCAAACAGAGAAATGCCTGGCTTGAGTCATCAAGGTTGATGTGGGCTTGAGTGCTAGAATGAGAACAAGATTGCTCAGAGATTATTATCACGGGGATCTGGTGATAGTCGGTAAGATTGAGAACAGCGGCTATTGTTTAGGATAATTAAGAATGGCATTTTAATAAATATGT